ATTTGTCAGGTAATTTGTTGCAAGGAGAGATTCCAAAAGGAGGGTTTGAGGCCCTTAGCAATTTAAGAGTCATTAATCTGAGCAGGAATCAGCTTTCTGGGGAGCTCCCTGATGGAATTGGAAGCTGTTTGCTGTTGAGATCGATTGACCTTAGTGAAAATTTGCTCTCTGGGTACCTGCCTGAAACAATGCAGAAGCTCAGCTTGTGTAGTTATCTGAATTTGAGCAAGAATTCATTTGCTGGTGAGGTACCCCAGTGGATTGGAGAAATGAGAAGCCTTGAGACTTTGGATTTTTCCTTGAATATGTTCTCTGGTCAGGTTCCTGATTCCATTGGAAATCTCAACTCTTTGAAGGTGTTAAATTTCTCCACAAATCGTTTAACTGGGACCTTGCCTGAATCTATGGGCAATTCTGCTGGCCTTTTGGCCTTAGATTTTAGCCAGAACTCGATGACTGGTGATCTTCCTGGATGGATTTTCAGGTCCAGTATGCAGCAAGTTTCCCTCGCGGACAACAGGCTCAGTGGAGATGCCAAGGTTCCTATTTCAACTGTAACCGTGAACTCACTACAAAATATTCAAGCGTTGGATTTGTCCGGCAATGATTTTTCTGGCGAAATACCAAATGGTATTGGAGCTTTAAGCAGCTTGCAGCACTTGAACCTGTCAAGAAACTCTCTGTTCGGGCGTATTCCAAGCAGTATGGGGCAGTTGAAGATCCTGAATGTTCTTGATTTGAGTCACAATAGGTTAAATGGAAGCATTCCTGTGGAAATTGGAGGAGCTTATGCTTTGAAGGAACTGTGGCTAGAGAGCAACTTTCTAGAGGGGAATATTCCCACATCAATTGAGAAATGCACGCTGGTCACATGTTTGTAAGTTGATCCTTTTCTTACAGCATTTGATTGTGCTTTCCAGCTTCTTGTTTAGCTTTGGTTTTAGCTGTCTGCATTGAACTATATAATCAATGAAGTTCCTACTCAATTCAATGCTCTTAGAGCTTGAGAAATATCCATGCTCTCTAAAGCTAGAATGAGTAGAGTGTCCGAATATTTCAAGAAATGTTTTTACTTATTCAAGGTCTCCCCTTTTAATTATCCTTGTTGGTTGATTTTTGTAGAATCCTATCGCAAAACACCTTGACTGGCCCAATTCCAGTGACATTGGCAAAACTTACCGACCTACAAGATGTGGACCTGTCTCTCAATAGGCTCTCTGGAACCCTACCCAAGCAGTTGGCTAATCTTCCCCACCTATTATCCTTCAACATCTCCCACAACAACTTACAAGGAGAGCTACCTGCTGGTGGATTTTTCAACACTATATCACCCACGGCTGTCTCTGGGAATCCATCTCTTTGTGGCTCTGCAGTTAATAGATCATGCCCTGCAGTTCTTCCCAAACCCATTGTTCTCAACCCTAACTCTTCTTCTGACTCCACTTCTGGTGAATTGCCTGCAAATGTTGGTCACAGAAGAATTATCCTCAGTATATCTGCCCTCATTGCCATTGGTGCAGCCGCATTCATTGTTGTTGGTGTCATTGCCATAACTGTCCTCAATCTTCGTGTTAGATCATCAACATCCCGGTCTGCAGCAGCCATTGCATTGTCTGGTGGGGATGAGTTCAGCCAGTCACCCACTACAGATGCCAACTCCGGCAAGCTTGTCATGTTTTCGGGTGAGCCTGACTTCAGCACTGGAGCACATGCTCTGCTCAACAAGGACTGTGAGCTTGGACGTGGAGGCTTTGGAGCGGTATACCGGACAGTGTTGCAGGATGGACGCCCAGTTGCAATCAAGAAACTCATTGTTTCTAGTCTTGTTAAGTCACAGCATGATTTTGAAAGGGAAGTCAAGAAACTAGGAAAAGTAAAGCACCCCAATCTTGTGGCACTTGAAGGTTATTACTGGACTCCATCCTTGCAGCTTCTCATATATGAGTATGTGTGTGGAGGAAGTTTGTACAAGCATCTACATGAAGGATCAGGTGAGAATTACCTGTCCTGGAATGAGAGATTCAATATAATTCTAGGGACAGCAAAGAGCCTGGCTCACTTGCACCAATCGAACATCATTCACTGTAACATAAAATCAAGCAATGTCCTGATTGACAGCTCGGGTGAAGCTAAAGTGGGAGACTTTGGCCTAGTAAGGTTGCTGCCAATGCTAGATCGATATGTTTTAAGTAGCAAGATTCAGAGTGCACTTGGCTACATGGCACCTGAGTTTGCATGCAGAACAGTGAAGATAACTGAGAAATGTGATGTGTATGGGTTTGGGGTACTGGTTTTGGAGGTGGTTGCTGGCAAGCGGCCTGTTGAATACATGGAAGACGATGTGGTGGTGCTGTGTGACATGGTGCGAACAGCATTAGAAGAAGGCAAGGTGGAGGAATGTGTTGATGGAAGGCTGCAAGGGAAGTTGCCAGCTGAGGAGGCAGTTCCAGTGATGAAATTAGGGTTAATCTGCACATCACAAGTGCCATCACACCGGCCAGATATGGGGGAGGTAGTTAATATATTGGAAATGATAAGATGTCCTTCAGAGGGCCAAGAGCTGGGATAAATTAAGCATTACTTGAAGAATTAAGGATATGGATTTAGAAGTGAAGTGAATCATCCGGCGAAGTGGAATCCGGTTTGTTGGTTTATGAAACAGAAGAAATGATTTGTTTGTTGGCATTTTTTTCTTCTTTTCATGCCTTTCCTCCTGTATTGTTTGTTTTAGTTTTTGATTTCCAGTTGCTTGTCTGTGTTCGTGTTGTGTTACCGTATCGGATTCCCTTTCACCGGGTTCCATTTTGGGACCCTTTAGGATATTGTTAG